ACACACACACACACACACACACACACACACACACACATTCTCTCTAAAGGTCGCTTCATGCTGTGAGCTGCGTGAGACGCTGCGATTAATGCGTTTTGTGGAAGTGCATCTCTTCTGATGTTATTGATGGTAAAATATGAGGCCTTATGTTTACAGTGCAGTGGTAGAACCTTTTTAACTTGACCTGCCCAATAGAAATTGGTTATTTATATTTATTTTATTTTATTTTATTTTACTTTGAATATAAAAATTAATCAGTACCCATATTGGTCTCCATTTTCCCATTTAAACTTTAGTAAAATAAAATTTAGTTAACTTTATTTAACTTTATTTAACTTTAGTTAACTTTAAATGACCTGGCCGGTATGAATTTCATTGCATTGCATTGCAAAAGTATTAGCATGAATAAAAAAATTAAATTAGACAATTTTGATTGGCCAGTTAAGAATTAAAAAAATATGACCAGTTAGCAACTTATGGCAACTAATGTTTTCACATTACTTTTAAGTTGAGCAATTTCAACTTTTTTTTTAAAGTTACATGAGATTCAACTTGATTTTTAAAGTCAGTTTAATATAAATTAAGTTGAAATTACTTCATAAATTTGATCATACTCAGAAATGTAAGGCAGCAACTCAACTTAATTTTTTAAGTTAAAATGGATGGATTTTTTTTTGCTGTTTTTCTCTGCTGCTTGCAACCCGTTGAAACTGACCTTGCACTAATTTTTGGGTTGCAACTTACTAGTTAAGAATCACTTCGTTATATTGTATTAATGTCTGATTTAAGAAGCACATGTAATTGCTTAACCACCCTTTGATATATGATACAGTTGTCTGCAGAAAGTTCTGTATTGGGACGTTTCTTGCAGAAATCCTCATGAATGTTTGTCAATGGCATGCATGATGCAGTGTGTAAGAATGTTGTGTGTGTGTGTTAAAGCAGTGACATATGGCAGCTCTGCGGGTAGATTTAGCAGTAATTATCCGTGGATGTGTCTTCTGTTCTGATTTAATTAAATCACTCATCACGCGTCCTTGCGCTGTCTCATGCGCTTCAGTCTCTCTCGCTCTCGTAAGGACCGACAGAAAGAAATCAGGATTTAATGAATGAGACCAATAAAAAATTTGATTCATTTCCAAATAATCTGATTATTTGGTAAATATTCCACAAGCGTTAATTGTTTGTTAAATTATGATGAATATTATTTTTGTGAATTATTACTCATTTTTGGAAGAGTTCTCATGTACAGTGAATTAATATAATATAATATAACTTATTTTTGTAAGCTGGTTAAATAATAGTTTAGCTGACTGAATTTTTTATTTTTTTTCTGGGTTTGTCATTTCTTCAGACCTCTGTGCTTTGAAAGCAGCTGCTGGTCTTTCTAACTCTGCAAGTGTTTTTGGCACCAGTAGTAGTGGAAAAATAAGATTTGAGAAGTTGTTGAGCTATAGATCTTTTTGTCGTGTCTCGCTGAAGGGCGGCTCGTCTCAGAGTGTGTTTGCGGCCGCTGATTCCTCCAGCACGCACTTTCCAGTGCCAACAGATCCACTGGAATAAATTTACCCACAAATGGGCCTGTCTAACCTGAGCAAATGTGTTGAGCGTTCGCGGCTGGTGTCACTTGTTGTTTTCTGAGCAATGTGTGTGTGTGGTTCATTGCGCTTCAGCACAGATTTGTTAACTTCCATTTATTCTAAACATATTTAGCTAATGTAAACTTCACATGATTGATGACTCGCGCAAATGACGTGTTTCCAGAGGATTTCACTTTTTGGTTGTTTTCCAAGGTGAGCGAGAGTGACTATTACTAAAGCTCATTCTTGAGGTTGCCGGTCTGATCAAAGGTCAAGCGCCACTCACATTTTCTTCAGAAAATGTCAAATGCAGTGTTTAAATTGGTGCCACGCATCAATATGAAATCATGGACAACCATAAAGCCTGTGATTAAATGCTTTTCACTTCTGTAAACACAGACTGATGATTGGTTTCATCATCATCCAATTCACGATGACTGTGCCTTTTGACTTAGAGCATAAAGTCTTTTATTTATTTATTTTAATATATATATTTATGCATCTATTTCTGCACTTATTCATGCATTTATATAAGGATTTATTTATTTTATATTATTTTAATGCACTTGTACATTAATGTATTTATACATTTATTTATTAATTTTAATGCATTTATGCATGCATTTATTTATTTAAGCATTTATTTATGCATGCATTATTTTATTCTTTTTATTATTAATTTTATTTGAAGTAATAAGTAATATCTCTGATGAAACATAAATTAAACTTTTCCCCTGGCTTTACAATTTCAGTTTAGTCTGCTGAAGATGTAGATTCAGTGCTTTTCTCTCTCTTCTTTGGTCGCTCTCACTTTCTAGCCTTGGTCTGAGCTTCCTACCTAGACGGTATTTTAAGGCATCATTGCACATGTGTGAAAGCCGTTCCAAACAGTAGAGCGCTTAATCCAGCTTCCTTATGATACCTAATATTTTCAGAATTTGATGCGTCTCCATATGCATTTTCAGTCACTGCAGTATATCCTCAACAGTCAGACACAAAACTGAATGTGAGCAAGGGTGACTGTGCTTCTAAATGACCATCTTTATCAAATGATTCTTTAATTTAATGTAAAGAAGTGAACCTTTAATTACAGGAGCCAGTGGCTCTGTAGTCGATGTTTCAGTCTGAGTAAAGCCGCTCACTGAGCTTTGGATCAGTCTCTCCGTGTCTCCTGTAACCTGTTTTTCCCTCTCTAAATGCACAGAGGCTAGATGAATGTTTTCAGCCGACGAAAGTAACATCAGTGTTCATCTGAAAGGTTGTAAATGCACTGCTGTAAAAACCTTCACTGACCTTCTGTCCGACTGAACAGGAGTGTGAAAACAGCATCTGCGATTCTCCTTTTACATTATATGAAGGTAACAAGGGAAACTCTGCTCTTCTGAAAGAGATACACCACTCATTGTGCTGACCTGGACGACCCTGAACTGAAATGAACCTGCAGATTGATCTTTGCATTTAGTTCCTTTACAGCGACCATGTCTTTGTACTAACTATTTATTTGTTTGATTTATTTTTTTTTTTATATGCATTTGTTTATATTCAATTAATTTATGGATTTATTTTTGTTTTATTTATTTTTTCATTTATGTATTTACTTATTTATTTTAATTTTGTTTTAATTTTTATTTATACATGTATTTATATTTGAATGCGTTTATGCATTTATTTATGTATCTGTTTTCTTTTTATTTATACATGTATTTTTGTTTATATATTTTTATTTTATTTCCATGTGATTTTTAGAGAATTAAATGTAAAATCCTTCATGCCACAATGATAGACCGCTATTCAACAGTGATAACTCATGCAGATAATAGTGCAGGTTATTACCACATATTTCCACATATAAACAAATAAATAAATATATTATTATTAATAATAATAATAATAATAATAATAATAATAACAATAATAATAATTATTATCATTATTATTATTATTATTATTAGTATTAGTAAGTAATTGAAGTTTCAGTTTTAATTCTTTTATTATGCAAGAAAAGAGAGAATGTGGGAAATATTTGGCCACAGATGACCATGATCAGAATAAAATACTCTAGCAATTCATATAATATGTATTGATTATTAACATAACTCTGCATAAAAAGTATGGAAAACATAAATGTAAAAACTTTAAATTCAGCAGTTATTTGTTTCTCTGGAAAATGCATGGTTTCAGCTTGGTACTTATTAAATCTAAACTTTACCATCTAGATTACAAGAAAACTATTGAAATAAATGGCTGCGCGTTCATTGCTGTTGTTTGTAGCTGTGTTTGTTGACGTGTCCTGGGAATCTCAGACTTCTGTCCTGGAATAGCTTGTGCAAAGTTTGTCTTTGTTGAGTAAAATGAAGGAAAGCAGAAGTCAGGACTCATTTGAGGAAACCCGGCTCACTGCTGATGTCAGACGCTGTGATTTATTCTGCTGTGACCCTGATTTTAATTCTGCCTGGTAAAGTGCCATCTCAAAGTTCACGGACAGGTCAGTTATTTAATGCATAAGTGTATTGTGCATGTGGCCGTAAAAGGATAGTGTGGATTTATTTGTACGAGTTTAAACTGGCCTGAACAGCATGATAAATGAGCTTTCAGGAAAGCCAACGGGAGTTTCTGTGTGTGTTTGCTCCAGTAATGACTCCTCATAATTATTATCATTATTATTATTATTATTATTAGTATTAGTAAGCAATTGAAGTTTAAGTTTTAATTCTTTTATTATGCAAGAAAAGAGAGAATGTGGGAAATATTTGGCCACAGATGACCATGATCAGAATAAAATACTCTAGCAATTCATATAATATGTATTGATTATTAACATAACTCTGCATAAAAAGTATGGAAAACATAAATGTAAAAACTTTAAATTCAGCAGTTATTTGTTTCTCTGAAAAATGCATGGTTTCAGCTTGGTACTTATTAAATCTAAACTTTACCATCTAGATTACAAGAAAACTATTGAAATAAATGGCTGCGCGTTCATTGCTGTTGTTTGTAGCTGTGTTTGTTGACGTGTCCTGGGAATCTCAGACTTCTGTCCTGGAATAGCTTGTGCAAAGTTTGTCTTTGTTGAGTAAAATGAAGGAAAGCAGAAGTCAGGACTCATTTGAGGAAACCCGGCTCACTGCTGATGTCAGACGCTGTGATTTATTCTGCTGTGACCCTGATTTTAATTCTGCCTGGTAAAGTGCCATCTCAAAGTTCACGGACAGGTCAGTTATTTAATGCATAAGTGTATTGTGCATGTGGCCGTAAAAGGATAGTGTGGATTTATTTGTACGAGTTTAAACTGGCCTGAACAGCATGATAAATGAGCTTTCAGGAAAGCCAACGGGAGTTTCTGTGTGTGTTTGCTCCAGTAATGACTCCTCACTGAAGAAAAACAGATTTACATTGATTCAGCTGTCACACAGACTCACAAAACCCCGCCTCCTATGTTGATTGACAATTATGTGCCACGCCCACTTCCTGTTTTATTGGTTTTATGGCATTTGATTTCTTTCCCTGTAGTTATGGAGCAGATGTCAATCTGCACTTTCAAGTGGTGTGTGTGTGTGATGAGATGAGAGTAGTCTGCAAGGATAGAGATATTTTGTTGAGGCCTTTTAATCAGAAAATATTTGGCCATTTTGTTCCTTGACAATTCATAGTACAAACACTTGTTTGTTTGTATTTTTAATAAAATATAGTTGGTTCTTTTAATTTCAGCATGTTCACATCTATTTTTATTTACTTTCTTTTATTATAACAAATTATTGTTATAATTAAAGACACTCATTATACTCGCATTTGGTTCGTAATATGTTATACCATTTATTTGTTTTGACTTTATTTAAAACTAGATTTTATGGTTTTAAAAAGATTTAGATTTTCACATTTTCAGTATGATCTACTCATGTATTTGTTCATTTTCTATTTATTTAGAATTTTGAATAAAAAATTGTTTTCTTCAGCACTTTCAACTTTATTTTTATTTGTTCTTTTTTAATTTTAGAACTTTTAATAAAATAATTCTGTTCTTTTAAATGCAGCATTTTCAACTTTATATTATTGTTATTTTTATTACAAATTGTCTTTATAATCATTGATGCTCATTTACTTGCATTTGCTTAGTCACCTACGTTTTATTTATTTAGAATTTTTAATAAAAATCTGTTCTTTTTAATTCAGCATTTACAAATCTTTTATTTTATATAAATTATCATGATGCATATACATTTTCATTAACTCATTTGCTTACATTTGGTTAGCTGTAGTGCAGAAGACTAAATCTTTCTTGTTTATTTTATGTAATACAATTTATTTGTTTTGAATTTTTTAAAATGTAAATCTAGATTTTGTGGTTTTGAAAAGATTTTGATTTCCATGTTTTCAATGTGGTCTATAGTTATTTATTTAAAAACAGGTCGGCTAGTAGGCTGATATATTTAATCTGCGAGTTTGCTCACTTCAGCTTGTAAAGAGATTATTTCACCTGTTGTGTGTGTGTGTGTAGACTGCAGAGAGATCCTGTTGCCTTTGATGACGGAGCAGCTGAAACTTCACCTGGAGAATCATGAAGAGCTGGACTCCTGCTGTCAGCTGCTCAGCAACATCCTGGAGGTGCTTTACAGGAAGGATGTGGTGAGAAACACACACACACACACACACACACAGACAGATCTCTGCTTTTTTTCCACCCCAAAATGGAAAAGCAAAGTCTCCTAAAGTGGAGTATTCACTGTAAAGTGTTCACTGAAAGGCAAATCTGTGTGTTTATCTCATGTCACATCCTTCATCTTTAATGACCTGTATGTGACCCACTCAGAGATGTGAGTTTGGTTAATTAATTTTTGGCTCGTGTTCTGACTGTTAATTGGCTTCTATGGCGCTCGACTGCAATTTACCTGGGCAGATATCCAGATGCACTGCTCTCTTCTCCGTCATTTGATCAATTACTGCCGTCGTGATCAATAGAAAACTTCCATAACGTCTCTGTTAAATGAAATGTCCTTTAGCGCTACTTTTAGAATAAGTGCATTTTTAAAGTCTCATTTGCATAACGTTTTTTTTTTGTATATTGAGTGGTTTTGAATAATAGAGTGATGAAATACTGCACAGTAAACTGCATATTAAACACTCTCACCTTTACTGTAGTTCTGTGTACTAAACTAAAACTAAAATTGTTTTTTTTTTTACTTGAAATCAAATAACCTTAAATATAAAATAAAATAAAAAAATATAAAAGCATAAACTAAACCTAAACTAATTTTCATTTAGTTTAACTTGCTGTACTAAAATAACTGAAATAAAATGAATAAAAACTGTATAGAAAACTATATAGACTAAATCTAAACTATATAGACTTAGTTAAAAAAAACTAATAAAAGTGACAACACAATGAAAATACTAGAACTTTAACTAAAATTAAAAACTCAGGAAATATAACAATAAAATGTACTAAAATAACTAAAACTGATCAAAATGAATGCAAAAAATATAGACATTAAAACAACTAATAAAAATGTCAAAAACATAACAAAATTACTAAAACTTGAACAAAAAATGAAAGTAGAGAATAAAAAAATAACATACTAAAATAACTAAAACTGCAAAAGCTATAGACATTAAAAAACTAATAAAAATGACAAACAAAATTAGTAAAATTAACAAATTTGAATAAAAGCAGAAAATATAAAAACAAAATGTGCTAAAATAACTAAAACTGAAATGAAAAATTATTTTAAAAACTAAATAGATATTACAACTATCTATAGTTTTGTTTTTTGTGTTTTTTTAGCAAAACTGACATACAAAATTAAAAAAAAAATTACTCCCTAAAACCCATTAAATTAAAAAGAAAATCTAAAAATAAGAACTAATTCAAATATTAATAAAAACTATAATAGTATCTTGAAGATACTAAAATAACACTGCTTTACACACGCATGTATGTACGTCACTGATTTCCTCACTACCTGGTGTTGTGGGTGAAGCATCCTTTGAACCCTTGTGCGCGAGTGGGTGTGTGTGTGTGTATGCTTGATAATTGAGTGTGTGCGTGTGTGTTACGTAATAAACACGTCACAGTCTAGCGCAGAGCTCTCTCTCTCTCTCTCTCTCTCTCTCTCGCTCTCTCTCATATCTGGATGTGGCGAGAAACACACACACACACACACACACACAGACAGATCTCTGCTTTTTTTCCACCCCAAAATGGAAAAGCAAAGTCTCCTAAAGTGGAGTATTCACTGTAAAGTGTTCACTGAAAGGCAAATCTGTGTGTCTCTCTCTCTCTCTCTCTCTCTCTCTCTCTCTCTCTCTCTCTCTCTCTCGCTCTCTCTCATATCTGTGGTTGGAGATCAGCAGCATCCTTTGAGGAGGACCTTGGAAGAGCTTGTTTAATAATTGACGATCTGCTGTGAGTGTATCAGGATGGCCTCTAACACACACACAAAGCTTGCTGTTTCTTTGCAGTTAATTGTGAAATTTACTGGAAATGAGAATTGTTTCTACACCAAATGTTTTTCCTTGTAGAAAACACAGTTTACTGCCCATAAATATTTCATACCGGCCATGAACATTTTATTTATTTATTTAAATTGATTTTTTTAAGTGAAAAAAATCATGACATGCTATTCTGATAAATCAATTTATCATATATTTGCATGTACCGTTATTTAATGATAAAATGTAATAATTTTCATAAATGTGTGAATTTTGTAAATTTTAGTCATTTTCTACATTTCAAATTTAGATAATTCACAGAACTTGTCAAATGAGGAAGTCACTGAATAGACAAAATACATTTAAAGGGGTCATATGATGCTATTTTAAAGATCATTATTTTGTGTATTTGGTATAACAGAATATGTTGACATGCTTTAATGTTCAAATTAGGCAGTTCACTCTCCTGTGATGTGACCCTGTTCGCCTCACACACACACACACGACGCGTTACTCTACGCAAAACTCCGCATTTGAACAGTCAATAGCAAATACTTCAACTAATAACAAAACATATTTACCGTTGCTGATTCAGAAGCGCCAGATTGTCATAGCAAAGTCGGAATTGACCCTTTTTTTTTTCTTTTTTTTTTTAGAAATAGCCTTTGTGCACAGCCAGCCTTGTACTCTTCTAGGTTTCAAAAACTCTCATCCATAAAATGCGTTGCACAAATTTGAACATCTGGGTTGTGCTACAGATCTTCTTTGTGCACCAAGAGCTTGTAACACTCCAAAGAGAAAGGAAAACTTGAAATCGCATCATGTGACCCCTTTAAAGGTTAATCTATTGTTTATTTTATAAGCACAAGGTCATGTTCAGCATGAACGTGTCTGAAATTGACAATTTAATAAAGAAAAAAAGATTTAAATTCTCATGTTACTTATTTCAGCGAGGTTAAGATTATCATTCATGCAGCTTGATATAAATTATGTATTATGCTGCAATTCCAGATAAATGGTGAGAAACTTATGATTGATTGATTATTTATTTTTTATTTTTTTTGACCAATTAAGGCCACTGAAACGGTGTTTGTCACTGTTTGTTCGGAAAATGTTGTCTTATGTGTAGGGTTGGGTATCGTTTGAATTTTATCGATTCCGGTTCCGATTCTGCTTATCGATTCCGATTCTTATCGATTCCTAATTCTGATTCCAATAATATAAAAAAATCCATTAAACTAATTTTAAGTCAAATATTTAGATGTCAAACATATTTAATCTGTTTTATGTCTATGGCTTTATCAAAAAAATACCACAGAAAAAAACAACTAGACTAATATAAATTTCAAACATTAAATTGTTAGACAAGTAAACAAATTAATTAGCAATAGCATAAATAAATAAAACTGAACAAATGTCAGGTACAGAAATTTAAATCAAAAGTTTAAAAACCGTATAGTTTTCTTTTCATAAATAAAATATTGATTAATCCTCATTAAATTTATGAAAGATATTCAGTCAGTTAATTATTTTCTTTTGTTCTTTGATTAACATTAATGATAGGCAGCACGTTTATTAGACGGCTGTCTCTTTAACACCGAACACACACAGATCTAAAAATACTGTTACACATGCGTTTTCTTTCTCATCTGTTTACGTTCACTTAAGACAAAAAAAACCGGCTGTGTTTATGATGATATACCGACGTATTTCGTGCATACTGGTCGATAAATGTGAAAGAGAAGTCAGTTCTGGCCCAGAACAACCTTTGTGGAAATGCACGGAACAGTTCGAGAATGGACATAGGTAAGGAACCTGCATCGGGACCACTGTTCTCTGTGCTCGTGCTTCAGATGTGTGCGCTGCACGCAAACAGTGTGCAAGTTCTTTCCCTTCCTGCACTTAAATAGTTTAAAATCACATTAAAATGCGAACGCGGGAATCGTTAAGCGGAATAGAAATGCACATGTCTTATCGAATACCCGGTTATTGGAAATTTGGAACCGGTTCTAAAATGGAACCAGTTCTCGATACCCAACCCTACTTATGTGGATAAATCATTTATTAGTGATGTATTTCTGTGTGGTTTTAGGGCCCGACGCAGTGGCACGTTCAGATCATAATGGAGAAGCTGCTGAGGACGGTAAACAGGACTGTGATCTCCATGGGCCGAGATTCTACTCTCATAGTAAGTGTTTCTCTCTCTGTCACAGGCTTGTTCCTTTGGGATGTGCTGAGTTTTGGGCTTTCCTGTGTCTGTGGTTAGTAGCAGTGTGTTCTACCACAGCAGTGCAGTTGGGCTGCTGTCTGCAATTCTCAAATGTCTCCACACACACACACACACACACACACACTCTCTCACAGCCTGGCTTTGTTCAGGCAGGCAGCAAAAATCAGATTTTTTTTGGCATATCCAACTCAAATCCTTGTAGTGTTTGTGGTCCGGACAGAAAAATAACACATTAAAGCTGAAGTGTGTCATTTCTGACCGTTTTCGAACAGGTTTCCCCAAACTCTCTCTTCTCTTTTGATCAATGTTGCTTTGTTAGTGTCTCTGTATTTGTGTTGATTTGATTTTGAGCAGATGGTGGAAACTTGCAGCATCTTTTGGCACTGCTTTTACAGCTCCTGTGATTACAGAAGCACACATTGCTTTAGTTTGCAGTCATCCTGTCTGAGCTGTTCTGAGATCAGGAGTTAGGCGATAGTTTAATCGGAGAGCTCCAGGCTGCCAGAAGTGCAGAGATGCTGATAGTGGCTGTCCTTGACTTTTACAGGCACATCTCTCCATATGCATGCTAAACATCTCTCTTCCTCGCCCTCTATACGCCTGTGTTTGTGTGTTTAGTAGTCCTTTAGTAGTCTTCATTTCATTCCAAACCCTTTATGCAATTATAGTCAATGAAGAATAGAGCTTTCAAGTGTTGAAAAAGATGCAAAAGCACCAAAGACAGACCATGAAATTTGCGAATGCACCAATATTAATATTAAAATATAAACCTACTATTCCATTTTAATTATCCATGGCACATGCATTTTTATATGTAGCCTAAATAATGTTGTCCAGTGACTTGTTTGCATTATTTAGGCATTATTTTATTGTATTAAAATTTTTTGTAAGGCAATAGATTTTTTGGTAACACTTTACAAAGCAACAATTTTTAAAGTCTCATTTCTTAGTGCAATAATTTACATGAACTAACAGAGAGCAATTATTAGTATTAAGCAGTGCTGTCAAACGATTAATCGCGATTAATCGCATCCAAAATAAAAGTTGTTGTTTGCATAATATAAGTGTGTGTGTACAGTACTATGTTAAATTAAGTTACACTTTATTGTCCTTTACAGGAAATTTGTCTTGGACTCAAAAGCTGCAGTAGTACACAACAACCACATACAATAACAACAACAACAACATTATTAAGAGATAATGAAAATAATGAAATAATAAAATGAGTAAAAAAAAAAATAAAAAATATATATTTGACAGGACTTAAATGTTAAATGTGAATCTAGTATTCTTTAGCATTGCTGGTGCCATGCCATGAACCCTGCCCTCATAGCGAACTGAACCGAACCGAACCATGGCATTGGTATATCGTTACACCCCTAACGTTCACAGCCATATGTGTGGAAGTGTCTAGTGATTGACGCTTGAACATGGATGTGCCACTGAAGTACTTTCCTGCCTTTCTCAGTTATTACCCCGCCATTATTCTCTCTCCTCTAGAGTTCAGTAAGTAGCTCTGCGCTGTGGTGTTACTATAGAACTAACCTCTGATTTATGCCTCTTCTTTCTACTGAGCTTATGTTAAAAGGTCTCTAAACTCCAGATGCTCAAGTCCTAATGGTCGAGTCACATAATGCCCATTCATCGCTCTCAGGGTACATGTACTCTTTGCTGACCTTTGCAGTAAATCCCTCTGTCTTATGCGGTCCAATCGTGTGCCAAGCCGAGCACATCTGCCAGCAAGAGGGCTGGGCGAAATATCCAACATTTATGAAAACCGAGTATTAGACTGCCATTAAACTAGTTTCATTCTGACTCGAGTATGAGAGAATTAAGACTTTTTAATGTCATTTCTGTGAATCGGTTCAGTTTCATTGAATCAAATCTTTTAATAATTGGCATCATCAGTAAATGTTTACACAGGTATGTGCATGGTTTTTGTAATAAAATTTGTATGTAGGCAGATGTTTATTACTTTCACATTTATGCATTTTGGCAGATGCTTTTATCCAAATCGACTTTTTGCATTTTCAATTCATGCATTCTCTGGGAATCGAACCTGTGACCTTGGTGTTGCTGGCGCCATGCTTTACTATTTGAGCTTTTTTAGTATGCATTTATATTTATTATGTATTTGTTATATTGATGCATAAAAAATATTAATAAGTATTCTTGTGGTAGTTTCTAAATGGCTTTTTCAGTTCATGCATTCCCTGGGAATCGAACCCATGATCTTGGCGTTGCTAGTGCCATGCTCTACTGTTTGAGATAAAATAATTTTTATTTATTTTTTTTTAAGTATGCAATTGCTGTATTTAATATGCATTAATTATATTGATGCATTACAATAAGTAAATATTCTTGTATTCATTTACTGAAAAGCAGTGCTAAAACATGATTATTTTTAATAAGGTTGTTCAATTCTTGATGAAATTTTGTTTAAATTCATCGGTAAAAATCTAATTGGCTACAAATGGCTTTTTGAGCTTATGCATGACCTTGGCATTGGTAGTGCCGTGCTATATTGTTTGCATGATTTTTTTTATTTATTTTTTTTAATATGCATTTGTTATATTGATGCATAAAAATTACAGTTAAAAAATTCTTGTGTTTTTAATAGACTAATTCTTGATAAAATTATTTTAAATTCAACATTTTGGATCTAGTTGGCTATAAATGGCTTAAAATGTTGCTTGACAAATCATGACCCCCCCTCCAAAAAAAGAATCATCTTAATTTTATGCCATTTTAGAACAGCGCCAAAGAAAAGAAAAAGAAACAGAAAAATCCCAGCCCCTACTTTTAATTATGCAAACATGTCATTATTTACTGCTGAATTTCAATATTTGAAGGTCTCAGATTTATAGATTTGACTTCTTGTGATTGAAGCTATGTCTGTTTATGCTTTTTTAAGTATAAGTATGTTTAAGAATGCATGTGCTGCAGATTCGGTTGAATTGTGTGTAGATTGATAGTACATTTAATGTGTGTGTGTATTTGCTCTCTGTGGGCAGCTCTTTCACGCTGACCTTGTTCGTCAGGGCTCTGTTGCTTGGATTCAGGTTTATGCATTAACTTTTCTCTGTGGTTTTGCTGGATGTGAGTGTAGAATTTAAATGAGACTGGTCAGCGCGTGCACACTAGTGCTGTGTTCAAAATATCGATACGACGATGTATCGTCACAGAGATTAGACGATACGAGTATCGATACAGCTGGCCCTGTATCGATATTGTGGCACGTGTGCAGCAGTGGACCACGCTTAATTTAAAATTTTACAACGTTTAAAATTGAGTAGAAAAGTGCGAGGTTTCTAAAAAAGAATGAATAGAGCATATATAGGCTACAACAAGGTTTAATCTGGCCGCAGAGGAACACAACTGGGTTGCCTGATATAAAGAGATGTAATCCCCGAAACAGAGCTTTTCACTTGCGCAATACGGAAATATCTGCTAAATGTGCTACTTATTTTTGTCAACCTGGCAACCATGTGCGTGGCCTCTGTATCGTGATACATATCGTGACTTTGCTGGTGATACACAGCCCTAGTGCACACACACACACACGTCGTGCATGCAGATGTGCACTTACAGTAAAGAAATCCAGTTGAAAATTCTTCTTAAATTTCAAAAAGTCTGAATCTGACAGATTGTTCAGGATTATCAACTGTGAATGACACATCTCATCATGCAGTGGTTGAGGAGGGGCTTGTATGTACTATTTGACAAGGAAATAAGAGTCTAAAGATCCCATGGATAAAGGAGGAACCCAATTATGTAATAACTTTGAGATCTGAGGGAGCTATTTTTCACCTAATGTATGTTAGCAACCATTTAGCCATGCAATGTTAACCATCTAGAACACATTAAGTGCATAGCAATATGCTAAGAACCACTCAGAACAACCTCTGTAGCATCATATGTTGCATATATAGTGAGTTTTGCATGATCAGACAAAAAGATCTGGAGGATCATCACTCCAGTATTTTATGATCTGATGTTAGCGTTTTAATCTTTTCTCTGCATGTGTTGCATTTAAGAGCCTTATAAACCTCATCTTTACCATCCAGGAGGCTTTTTTCTTCTTTGTCAGGATCAGTGCTTGTGTATATTCAGTTTTTTTATCCCCTCCCATTCCTCTGCAGTAGGAGGGGCCAGGTGGAGAAAGCAGGCTTTTGATTGGCTGCTCTGTTTGATTGACATTGCAGGCCTGACGGCAGGTGCGGTCTGCAGCATCAGTGCAGCAAAATCCTCTTCGATTTACATTCTCACCACATTCTCTGTGCATTAAATATACATTTGTGATGATAGAGAGGCTCTTCAGATTGATTTATTTCTATCTGTAGGTTTTTGCTGACTGTCCTCCTTTAAGTGCTTTTCAGATGAGTTTTTCAAACTCTCGCATGGGAAATACCGAACATTTGCCGCTGCAAGCATGCATGGGAATTCCCTGCTTAATAAACATGGACATGCACACACACTCCTTCATTGTGACCTGGAGAAATTTAATAACTCTTAGTCTCTTTCGCTTTGCTGCTGGAAAATGAGAGGAAGGTAGAGAAATACATTGAGGATCCCTTCAAAAGAACATTATCTCCAAAAAAAAAAGTGCTTAGTTTTTTTTTTTTCTATTTATTTATTTTTTTAAATAACATATTTGCTCCAAAACAGCTTTATTTTATTTTATTTATTTATTTTTTATTTTAAATTGGCGATGCACAAATACATCAATATCCATGTGGGCTTCTTTTTCCCACTCAAACTAATTAACTAAAATATATATATAATATATTATAAAAATATAAAAATATATGTAATCATTGACGGTCTAAACTAAATATTTATTAAAATTACAATATAACGCAAAGCTACTTTATTTATTTCATTTACTGATTTTATGTAGGTTTTTTTATGAATTATTATTTATTTTTATTTTTTATTTTATTTTCAATTTTACTGTTTTGAGGGTTATTCCGCCTCAGATGTTTTTCTGAAACTCTCTCTCTCAACACTGTTATCGTGATCCTCACAGCAGGCTTTGTACTAATATTAAATAAATCCACAGAATCAATCCCATGAACTTGCTGTTGCCATCTGGATGAATCGTAGTCATCGGGTCTGTACTTGTACTTTATTTATTTATTTATTTATTCTCTCCCTGCTGCTCCTAGATCACTGCGGTGGGTTTATTCTTATCCAGTGTAATCTGGGCGGACGAAATGGTGAACATGATGGGGAACAGATCTCACTTCCTTCTGAATCTAAAGCTGCTATTCACACATATTTACACATTCCAACAATTAGCATCTGCAATGCCACAGTAGGGTCCCTGAAATCAACACTGCCAAATTTCCGGTGAAATACAACATTATACAATTCTGATATGAGACCACCATTGAAAACTCACCCTCGGGCTAGTTGAGCTTAGTTAAAGTCCCCATGAAATAAAAATTTAAGTTTTTTGGGTGTTAGTATCAATATGTTAGTCTTAAGGTTATCTATAAGGCAGTGCGCTCCAAAACAGTGACAAAATTTGCATTTAGAAGATATAAGCATTCAAAGCTTGCAGTTCGTCACTTCTGCCAAAACGGCTCAACGATTTTTTTGACGTCACATCATACATACTTCAGCTTCTCATCAAACTTTCTGTCCAATCAAATGCTCTCTAGAATCCGAATCGCCCGCCCCCTACACTATAAAATAGACTCTGAAGCCGCGGCTGAAATCGGTCACTTGTCCACAGAATTAGTATTTTCTGTACAGTGAATGGCACGTAGTGCACTATATAGGGGACAGGGAACGATTCAAACAGTGTAAATATGCTTTCCATTGTATTCTCTACATAGAATGCTATATTTTATAGCAATATGGATGAGATTGTGGCTGGCATACCCTGTCAAATGCGGCTTTACGGAGCTCAACGGCTCTGAACGGCTCTAGCCCAAGCTGTGATATAAACGAACGCTATTGGCTATTTTAAAAAGGGGCGGGACTGCTTGATATGCCCCGCCCTGTCTTCCTGTTTCAGTTAAAATGATGTCCACACATAGAGTAACACTGTGTGTTTCTAAGCATTTCAGGGGACCTTTAATGTCAGCTAACTCTAATTTATTTACCTCATTTGCAGTGATTTATGAGTTGTAGTTTTTTCTTCCCTCATAAAATTAGATAAATAAACAGTTTTATATCATGTGTAACAATTAATAATTTGTTTTTAGCCGAATACTATGTTTGCTTTGAATAAAATAAAAGTAAAATGTATTTTACTCATTTATTTGTATAATTTTATAAAAAAAATGTTTTTAAATGCCTATGGATAAAATAAAGCTGTGAAATGCATGATACATCAAGAAGTGTCAGACAGACTCAGATAACGGAGCCACTCTTTGTATTTTTTATGTTTTATTTTGTATAGTAAATAGTTTTAAAAACTGTATCAAATACACAATATTGCACATAATAAATAAATTGCACTTTTTTTAAGGAACAGAAAACAACTAATCGTCTCTTTAGGCTACAATAGAGCTATTGAGAATCACAACCGTTGTGATACGAGAGGAGTTTGAATTGTGTTTCTGAAGTTGCCAACAGGGAGAGAGTGAATTCAGTGGAGAGGTTGTGTTTTTTGTCAGTCAAGTGGATTAATTTGCCCTTTTTAAAAGACTTTGGCACGTATCTGTGGATGGCCTCTGCTGTCACATTCCCAGAATGCTTTGCTCTTGTGATGTCATGAAATCTGTATCGCTGGAGATGATTTTAACCCTGTTCAGTTAAAATCAGTATGGCTTTCACTCTGGTTCTGGACACACACAGTGCTTTGCATTACATTTCACTGAAAATGGTCGTGAAAACCGGATTTTCATTTAATCCACGTTGTGCGTACAGAACCAGACTAAACAACTAGTTAATGCATCTGAGATGTGCGTTTGGCTTTTCCAGGTGCAGTGGTAGCAAATCACGCAGATGGCAGTACGTGTCTCGACTCAATTTATGGATAAATGTGTTTGTCATTTTCCGGTGTGTACTGTATGTGGCCTAGGGTTGGGCCGATTGATAATGACAGATATCACGATGTTGAGCCGGCATCGTGATTCCACCCCTCCCCCCAATCTTTCAATTTCCACACAGTTACATCAAATCATTTTCTTTTTCTGATTAGATAAAAACATAATTTTAACACAACATAATGAAGTTGTTCTCGATCACAATACCAATTATATTCAATGAACACAATTTAAACAGTAATGATTGTATTGTGTAAAAAACGGCAAACGAATTATAGGCTAGATGTTTTACACAAACTACACGAAGCATACAAAAACCGCAACAAAATTCTAAAGTATTTAAATTAAATTAGATTAAATAGGCTACAACATGTGGGTCAGATCATGGGTGTGGGATAATAAATATATTACAATAAAATTAAAATAGCCTAATAATAATTCAGTTTAATGTTTTAATCCTTCAAAGTATACTCAAGCGCAGATGAGCGAGGATGGACGAACTCCACACACCTACTTGACTCACTCTGTCTCAACATTTACCTCGCGCCTGTGCTAGCGGTTCTATGTGGACCATCCACGCAGTCACAAAAATTTGGCTGCACGCAGACATCCGCGGACACTTCTGATG